GGGCAGTTGGTTAATGGAAGAACTTTAATTGGATCGGCTTTCTGGTGACTGTGTGTGTATGTTTGTCTCCTTTAGGTTGGGGATAAAATTCAGAAAGGGCAAGTTGTATGCATCATCGAAGCTATGAAACTAATGAATGAGATCGAAGTAAGCAGATTCTTCTCCTGCAACTCTATCCATGGTTATGTTATTGATTGAAAAAAAATGCTAGCATTGGACTAGGGTTGCTTATCGGGTCTGGGTTCCAACCCAGCAGGTTAGGTCTGGATCCAGAAGTAGGAACTCGAAATTGGTTCGGGCCTGCTCGGGTCCGGGTATAGGTTGACCCAACCCTGATCCGACCTGTTTGCAGCCCTACAATTGATTACTCAGTGCTCCGCTCTCTATGTAAACTTGAATTGAGCGGTCAGGAAAAAAGTATTACATGCATTGTATACTTAAAATTTTGGAAGCATATGGAACAAAAATAACTATGAAGATACTGCTTGATAACCGAACATAAAAGTATCAGACAAACATTAAAAATAAATCTGATATGGAAGAAAGCAATCTGAAATAAGTTTATAAATACCCACACAGAAAAATGTAACGACCACTATAAGCAAGACTTGTGAAATAGTAACTTCAGAAATACGAGAGAAAAGACAAGAAACAGAAAATCCCTTAGAGAAAAAGGAAAATAATTCAAACTTGATTAAGAATCAATAATAACTTAAAGGAAAAGCTTTATGTAAGGTTGCAACCTTAAATGATAAAAGTAGGATGCACCTCAAAAAGGCAGTAGAAAAATTTGTTCTGAAGTTGGAAAACCATCTAATCAATCATCTCGACCTTGAGATGTATGGATATAAAGAAAAAAATTAGCGCATGTTAGTTATTTGGTTCAAGATTTTCAAAGCTTATAGATATGCTCGATTTGTATAATTTTTGGTATCGTCAATTTATACATAGGGTTAGTGCAAATTTTCAAGTCATCATAAGGTTTCTGACACTGAAACTACATCTTAAAACAAAATTTAGAAGCGCGAATTAGAAGTGCGACTTACTTATAAAGTATAAGGAGGCCACCTTGTGTAAACCTCACCCTCACTTAAAAAGGAGTGTGCAAAACAATAATAATTTGTTTTATACAAATTCCCTTAATCCCAATATCATCAGAAATAAAGTAATTGATGTGCTCTCTAAGAACATTATTTCCTATTTAACATAGGAAATTCACATTTTCTCATATCTCTTAGTGCCGCTGCATTATTTCATTTTGACACATATTATGCACCTATCCATGTGTCTGTGTATGTGTATATATGAATGAATATATGTGTGTGCATGCATGGGTATGCCTGTCAGTTTATCTTCTTGCACGCACATATATATGTACATATTGATGTATGTGCATGTGCACGTGTTGGTGTATATTTATGTGTGTGTACGAACGTGCGTGTGTATCTATGTCAGTGTGTAGTAATTGTGTCCACATGCATTGCACATGTATGTATGGACTACATGTATATGTGTGTATATGCATGTACGGGAATTCAGCTGTGAACTAGCATCTTGCACCTGCACGGTGTCATTCCATGCAGGAACTTCCGAAGATGACACTTACCTTGGAAACCACAACCATTTTTTTTTTTAATTAATTTCAATTTAAAACCATAACCAAATGTTAAGAAGTGTGTGAATGAGAGAGAGGCTAAAAATATCTCTTATTCTTTTTCAACCTTTTTTTATGTTTAGTTGGTACATACTTCGTCTTATCTCTATTAAAAAAGTTTATATAAGGTTGCATCTTTACTTGTAGAATGTTGCAGTAATCTACAATGTTTGTTTATATAAGGTTGTAACTTTATTTGTAGAAGGTTGCAGTAATCTACACTGTTTATTTTTGGATGGTGTATATTTGATAATATCTTTAAGACATGCTACTTTTTGATATTTTCTTAAAAGAAGTGTCAAAGGTGTAGAACATCACAAATCTTACTTCAACAAGGTTGCCACATTTTACAAGCCTCACCCATTTTCTATTGATAGATTATTGTATTTCTACTACAGTTTGTATTCTAATTTTTGTGATGGTGGGCTGAGAGAGAGAGAGAGAGATGTTAACCAAAGTTTATTTTATATTTTAAATGTTAAACCATTTACCGAAGTTAACTACTGATATTAAGCAGTGTGCTGAGAGAGAGAGAGTGGATATGCGTTCATGAGTTTTGGTGATTTTGCAGGCTGATCAATCGGGAACTGTTGTGGAGATCATTGCTCAGGATGGGAAGCCTGTAAGCGTTGACACGGTAATCTCTCTCTCTCTCTCTCTCCTTTTTCCGTTTTTTACCTCTTTTACTCTCTCCCCTAAAATTTTTTCCATTCTTTTTTCCTGCATTGCAGCCTCTCTTTATCATTGAGCCATAAAGACCTTGCCCTTCTATCATTCCATGTAAGTTGAGAAAGCATTGATCTTCTTTTATATTTCTTTTAGAAGTGAAGATTTTAGGTTTTAGTAATCCTTCTTCATTAAATTGAATCATTATATTTGTAGTAATATCAGTGGTCATCAACTAGAGTATCTTGAGTTTTTTTCAAATCTCTTATTGTAATGTCTTGTCTTAGAATTTTCGGATTCTCCAACGAGCAATCCAATTCCATATGTATTGGTGAAACTCTGCCATTAAATGTTTTTTTCTCCAGCTCTCTCTCTCTCTCTCTCTCAAACACACACACATATGCTCAATTTGATTTTTATTAGAGAATTCATCTGCTAATTGTGTTTCCTTGAGAGATCTCTTTCTCAAATTGAGGGCATCAGCAACGGCCATGTACGCATTTGATTAGGGGCACCAGCCAGACTTGAAATTTGGACTCGGATCTACATTTTTATCTTGTAAGGTCTAGAATTTGGCAGTTATTAAGCCACTTAATACTAATTAATATTTAAAATTTCTAAGCAATGTTATCATATTCGCTTCGGAGTCGGTTTGGTGAGAAAAAGAATCAATTCGGTGCTTTGGCCTATTCGAGGGAAGACTTTGAACTTTTCGGCCCAAAACTGACTGAAGCTGTCGAAGCTGACAAGCAGCAGAACAAGGTAAGGCTTCGCTTCGGTCTAGGCCTAAAATCCAAAGGCTTCAGTTTGACAACAGGTTTATGGTTTCTGAATTTGTTTAGTCTGAATCACAAGTTGGTTTGGGTATTGAAGTAGATTACATTTGATGCCCCTGCCCGCCTCTTTGCATGCATTCTTAGTTTGTGGAATACCCGTGTATTTACTATCATTAAAAACATGCAAAGATACTTCTAAAGAGTCTCTATCCCTCAGCATATGTTACTTGGACACTAATCCATGGGTCATGCTCGATACGGATACATGTATTGGCTATAAAAATATTAAGTTTGGTCGAAAATTCAGCCACCTGGCCATCTAGGCGAAAACGCTTAGGCAGGGCCAGAGCAGGTGCCCTCTGTATCCTTGCTTCTAGGCGGTTGCTTAGGTAGCTCCTTGGAGCAACATGGCAGAGGGCGGAAAAATGGTTTAAGCTGGGGGGTGTTTTTTGGATTTTTTTTTTTTAGTCCTAGAAAGAGAATAAGGACGATGTCCCACTATGTGGATTTGAGAGAGAGAGAGGATGATGTCCAACTGTGATTGATTGTGTTAGAGAGAGAGGATGATGTCCAACTGTGATTGATTGCGCCACTACATTCACAGTTTGGGGAAAGAGAGATGCACCACTACGCCTGCGTTTAGAGGCTGAGAGATGGCGCTCCATTTATCGGTAATGTTATATATCGGTAATGAATAACAGTATTTCGTTTATGACTTTATCATCGTTCAAAGTTTATAACACGGTTATAAATATTTGATAGTATTTGAATATTTAATATATTTTTTTACATGTGATAATGATCTGAAATTTTGTAGATGCGTGCCTCTTAGTGAGATGCATATGAATAAAATATAAAACAAATAATTTGATTGATAAAAATTACATAAATGCTCTTATAAAATTTTAGAGGTAATTTTATCATTTTATTTTATGACTATTATTTGTTTTATATTTTATTTTGGTGCAACTTGATCATATATACACACGTTTTAAATTTTAGATAAATCTGATTAGTATAAAAATTAAAATACTATTGAAAATATTATATATATATATATATGGAAAAAGTTTATATAAGGATACAATTTTATATTGTAGAACTATAGATGCATTTCAAAAATCTATCGGAAAAAGTAGTTTTAATGTTGAAAAACCCGTTGATTGATCATCTCGACATCGAGATATATGACCATGAAAAATAAAAAGATTTCAAGTACCAGAAGTAATGCATTTTACAACATATTTTCTATACCGTCCATTTTCAAGATTTTCATATGTTTATAGATCTATTTGATTTTAACCATTTTTTAAATTTAAAATTTTATAATTAGATATAAAAATAGATTTTGAGATAACCTTAAGAACATCTTACATCAAAATTATATACCATAATAAAATTTGAAGGTGCACTTTAACTCTA